CTCAGCGCTGCGGCATGCCGGGACCTAGCTGAAAGGCACCAGTGGCACAATTGGGCTCTCAGAGGCTCTTTGGTTGCACACGGCCAAGGCCGGTGATTGAAGAGGCGCCACCTGCGGTGAGACGTCGCCCCTCAAGGATCCTTGAAAGGAATACAGACGGAGCGCTTTGTTCCACGTTTGGGCCCAATCGTACGATGACTACCACCAAATGATAGTCTAGAGATAACAGACACCTCTGAATAATAGACATTAATAACGGGGATTTCTCGTCATGCAGGCTCATTATGGGATAAATGCTGAAACAATCCCTCAAAGATTAAACCATTTCGACGAAAAGAAGTCCAAGAGCATACTGAAATTACAGCTTTGAAGAGTCGAGCGCGGGTACTTACTGGAGCATTGGCGGGCGAAGGCTCTGGGATTTTCTTACAGTCTCTGCCAGGTGGAGGAAGCACACGTTCAATCACAACGCATTGGTTTGCACTGTGAGGATAGAAGGGACAGGAGAGAGATATCTTACGTGTGGCATGAAGTTACATATTGACTACGAGTATTTTGTAAATCAGGTTAGAGAAAAGCAAAACAATAGTCGCGCGGCCGAAAACTGTCTGAATAAAAAGTCATTGAACACACAAACTCGAGAAAGCGAGTTTGAATACTTTTTCGCAAACGAACCCTTGATGCTGGCTACTAGAATAGACGGAGTTTCCTTAGTTCCGACAACCATAATCTAAGATGTAGAAATTCTCACTAATACAATGCTTATCCGAGATGCGAATCCTATAGCCCTTAAAACTAGCATTGCCTAGATGAACCAAAGCTGTCCGCATGACTCCTCAGGTAGACTTCTTGCGACCGTCGCGCACTCGGAACGAGTGAATCACGCAGCATGTGCATCACAGGAGCATACATACGACTAAAATGGGCACTACCTTCACGTCTGTGACCGAATACCTGCTGTCGACCAATGGGGTAAAGCTATCCTCTACTGACAGTCGCAAGATGTGGATTAGAGACGCCCACACCGTGATATTTTGGCCATGATAGATGACTAAAAGGACAGGTATTCAGCCGGTGGTTCTTCAGAAAACTACTTGGTAAACTAGCGTTTTGGCATACTTGAATAATTCACTGGATCAACCTGTGATTCGAATACACAACAGCAAGAAGAAGGCTTGAGTACAGCCAAGCACTCCAACCACCTGAACTACAAGGCCCCACCGGGGGCCGTGACTCTAATCACATTCGGGTCAAGTTACCCGCCCAGCCTACCGCCACGTATGGAATCTGACATTTCTGACAGGGTTGGCTGACTCCCGAGCAGGATTCCCTAAGAAATTAATCCCGAATCCACCAGATGGTGTTTTGGCAGATTTGAATAAGTCATTTGACGCAATTGTCAGCTTACTGTATCAGATCTGGCAGATTCCATGGGTTGCAGTAGGCTGGTCGGGTAACTTGAACCAAATGTGATTAAAGTCACGGCTCCTGGTGGGGCCTTGTTGTTCAGATGGTCAGAGCGTTGGCTGTACTCAAGCCTTGACCTTGCTGTCGTGTGTGCGAATCCCACGGAGGCCGCCGAGTTTTTCACAGGCGCCTCATATGGGCAATCTAATTGGCCAATTTCGTCCAATGTATTGGAACGACGGGGCTGAGCGGCTCTCAATTTCAGAGAATAAATGAGTTCCTACTAACGTACTCCCAGCCTATCTGCAAGAATAACCTTAAACCAAAGGTTACATGGCTGAGAGCCAGTGAGAAATGCCGGAGCCGGGGAATCGTCCGTCGATTTGATTGTGTTCTCGTCAGCACAGGTCCCAAGGGTTCATAAATCAGTGGAACCTAAAGGCCCTCTTGCCAGATACCAGGTTGCAAGGACATAGCAGACAGACGACCTTTAGAAAAGAGAGATTTGGCTTTATTCCGATGACCGAATCTAGGGAGGGGGGGGGGGGACCCGAAAACCGTCACTATTAGGATGGAAATCTAATCAAGCTCCCAGCGGCTGTGTGACAAGTGCCCACCACTGAGACCAATAACGCCACTCGCAGGGACACAAGGATGCATCTGGGCAGACTTCGCACCGACACTGCCGATAGGCAAATGACTGCAAAGACGGACATATAAGAGGACAAGTGCCACAGGGCTTAAGTGACGACTTCAGCAACGCAGATGCTCGAAAGCTCTGCTAATTTATCGGCCAAGACAGCGGAACGTACCTCCCCCCCACCATGGGGTAATTTTTACCGCATTGTGAGTGATTGATTTAGTGCTGAAGACGCAGCCATGTTCGAACAATCGCACACACACTTTGAGTGCCTTCTCAATCACCAATTCCGGTCGGACACGGGAATATGAAACTGCCCTCACCCCGCAATAGAGGTGGCCTAGTGCTAAATTCGAGGGTGTCCCAATTACCGTGTCTTTGCTTAAACCAGAACACTAACTCACATAAACCTAGCCTTGACCATACCTGCAATCTCAAACCACCTAAGCCTACCTCTAATTCTACTGAGCTACCTGTAATACGAACAGGGCGGAACACATTCTTGTGTCGAACACGAATCACTTCGCCGTCTCATGAAAAGCAGAAATCCGCTTTCTGCGGTCTTACATGGTGCAGAGTAGCATGGAATTGTATGTGCAAGGCCGCTGAGTGCCTAGAGCGGATGGTAACCCTGCTGAGTTCTATTAACGCTGCGTCGATGTCCGTTCCATAGAGAGAGTTAACAAGAGTTGCGAGGTGAAATCTTTCCTGATAAATGGGCTCCACTGCCTTGTATGAGGAAGTTTTGACATACTAGTTTGCATGCTGTCCCAAAGTTTTCCTGATGTTTGGAGAGCCAACTAAACCATCCTCTGAGACGGAATTGTGGAGACACCGACAAGATACATTCGACAACGCCCAATATTCTCTGGAACAAAGTAAACCGACAGGAGGTGCAACACCAAGGTCCACTTAATCGGGCAGGTTTGGGCAACGTCTTCGTCAGCCGAATCGGTAGCCTCTAAAGGTGAAAATGTTGCAACTAGGACTCCCAGCACAAAAGAGAATGCGATATGCTAGTACATGCGCCGACAGGGCAATGCCCAGTAAACATCCCCCGGATGTCAAACAAAGACGTTTTGGACGTTAAACGTTAGACAGGTCGGATTTCCAGGGGTTGAGGCTGAGATACTGAACAGTGTCCTAGGCGACCACAGAAAAGGCCGCAATGCACAGACTTAAGTACTCAAATCGAGGGTTTTAATCACAAGCTTTCACTTATAATAAGGCCTAGCTATTTGGTGATGGAAAATCGTACTTCAGACTCCAAAGGTCACATTAGTGTCGCTTTGGGACACAAAATCATGTCATAATGAGGTCAAGATAACCAGTGATTCCGCTACTGCGACGACGCAAACGCTAGCCAGATGTGTGAGCTGCAGGAAATTCAAGGGAAGGCAACATTCCAAAAGAAATAAATCGGAGTGTAACTGTTTTCAGGATGAGCATTACCTCCGCACAGAACACAACCGGCAGGATCTGGGTATCAATGAGAGGTTTAATTTGTCTTAAATATGAAAAAAATCAGTCTACTTTCCAGATGACTATGGCCTCAGAATCCCAAAGACACAAGAATGAGGAGCGCTTACGCAGTCTTGAAGTCCGACCGCTTCACAAATACACTTTCTCCAACAAAAAACCTGTAATGGACGAATCCGTGCAACAGGTCCACCAGCTCAGACAGCTTCCTACGCCTAGCTTGGAAAGTGATGTAAAGCAGGCCACGGCAGAGCGCAACACCGAAGTTGTTCAACTGATCTAGATCTGATTTCTCGCAAGCAACCGCCTCAGTGTACGTCAATTGTGACTTGTTGCAGAAGGAGCAGTTCCAGGTGGCGCTATTAAGGAGGATGGTTCGTTCAAAAAATTCACTAAATAGAGAAGAGAACAGCACATTTAGTCGTTGTGCACTACCTACTCAGTGCTGTGAGTAAGCAATAATTAAAATTAAAAAATATATTCGCCTACTCATAATCCTGGAAAATCTCGAAGGTAATTGGGGAGAAGAAAACCTCATCGTCTGGATTCATGTGCGGCGCGGGAGACTTCTTAACAAATGGCTCTCCATTTAGGAGCGGCATCGAGAGTAGTTGACAGGAAGAGAGGACGGTCCAGCGCCAGTTCTCTAGCCGCTGATGGGTAACCAACCTAATTAAAAGAAGAGAAACGTTTTGATAAGGGGACCCTGAGTTATAAGGCTTTGAGGGGTCTTTAAAACGATCATGGTCAGATGGGAACGACTCTCAGGTGTAGCTACAGATAATCGACTAAATGGCTGTCTTTCGAACCGTTGACTGGGGATGGCTAGTTCGTCAATTCTTCTTCCCCCGGGATAGCGCCGATGAACAAATACAGCAAGGGCAGTGCCGGAAGAGGTCCGTTAAGCAATCGAGACTGTCGAGATGATAGATGGAAGGAACAAACTTGAGCAAACGCTCTTGATCCTCAGGCCTGGTCCAAAAGTTGTTTGCACTTTTAGTCGAGTAGCACCTATTTGACCGTTTTGGGCTTGGCTGTCGATGCGACAGAGATCAGAGAAGGCTGAACTTTGCTGACAATAATATTGTTGGTCACCAACAATGGCTACCGGCCATGTCGCAAACATCCACTGGCCTGACATTCAAACGGCGGCAATACGGCCAGTTTGACTGGCTGGTTCACGGTTCTGCACCTGGGTTACCGATAGCAGATCCCTGCGTGGTGCCGAAAGCGGTAACGCCCGTGGGTCCGACCATCTTCTTGTTTGCAAGCACCCGAACGTCCATCCCTCATCTGAACTCAAAATATAATGTGCAAGACGTCCTGTTGTCACAAAACTACGACAGACCAACACAGTTAAGGTCCTGAGTAGCTAAATCAGATCTCGTTTTACAAACAGAGCAGAAGGAGGAGTCAGTAGCAAATGGTCAACATCGAAGCCATTAATCTATGAGGCGGCAGGAGGGATTCTTGGATGGGTGACGCCGCAGCAACTCTGAAGTTGTCTGCCCAGAAGCTCGAGTCAGGCTCCGCAACAACAATTTCTTTTCATCACCTTTGGAAAATCACGACAAGTTGGCAAAAGATGGCTGCAAAAAATTTTCAAGTGAAATAGCAACCGCAAAAGAGCAGGTCGCAAACGTTGGTGACAATCAAAAACCCCATCAAACTGGATCAACATCGCTAGAAAGATCTTCGCTTGCATCCTCCTCAATCGTCTCAACGGCCATCTCGAACAGGAGCTTTTGCCGGAAAGTCACCGCGGAACCACCGAAATAATCTTCACCGTTCGCCAGCTGCAAAAGAAGTGCCAAGAAATGCGGCCCACCCTCTACGCAACCTTCGTGGGTATGGCGGAGGCCTTCAACACGGTGAATCGCGATGGACTGTGGAAAATCATGCAGAATTTCGGCTGTCCCGAGCGATTCACGCACATGGTGCATCAGTACTATGAGGGAGTGATAACGCGCATCACGGACGGTGGCACCGTTTCAGAAGCATTTACAGTAACCAACGGAGTGCAGCAGGGCTGCGTACTCCCCTTAACCCTCCTCAGTCTTATGTTTTCTGCCATGCTCATGGATGCCTAACGTGATGAGCGCCCCGGGACCCGCATCGCCTATGGGATTGACAACCATCTAAGCAGCCGGCGAATGCAGGCCTCAACGCGTCTGTCCACGATTAATATCCACGACCTGCTCTTCGCTGACGATTACACACTCAATACTGAGACAGAAGCTGACATGCAACGGAGCATGGAGCTCTTCGCCTCCAGCTTTGCCAACTTCGGGCTGACCATCAACACGGACAAAACGGTGGTCATGCATCAATCGTCACCCAATGCTGCATGCATAGCTCCTCTTATCCACGTCAACGGCGCACAACTGAAGACTGTGGACAACTTGGCCTGCTAAGGTGGCACACTCTCACGCTGCACAAAAATTACGACGAAGTGGCTCCCTGGATCTCCAAAGATTGACATGCCTTCGACCGGCTGCAGAACTCCGTATGCAATCGTCACAGTCTCCACCTTAATACCGAACTGATGATGTGCAAAATGGTCATCTCAGCGACATGGTGCGGAGGCCTGGGCGGTCTACGAGAAACAAGCGCGGAAACCCAGTCATTTCCACCTTAGTTGTCTGCGACGGATACTAACACTGAGGTGGCAGGACGGGATCACGGACACAGAAGTTCTGGGACGGAATAGAGGCCTCAGCGACAGGGCAACAGGCTCGTGGCCCAGTGGTTAGAGGCGTGGACTTCTAACAAACAGGTCGCGAGTTCGAGCCTCGGGTGTTCCACACTTCGGGGTTGGGTATGACTGGCTGACGACGGCTAATAATCCAAAAATGGCCATTCCAGTCTCCATTTTCTTCGTCTGCAATGCTATTCTGTCTGGAATCCTCAGCATCCACGCGATGCTGAGACGACTGAAACCACGCTGAACCGGTCACCTCGTGAGGATAAACGACGAGCGCCTACCAAAACAACTCTTCCATGAAGATATCGTCATGAGTGTTCGACGACAAAGAGATCAAGCCCGCTGCTACGGTGGACATCGTCAGAAACGAGGGTCATTAAGGTTACAGGGGCGAGGCGGAGTTGAATCTGCGATTAAGATAAGTGCGACCATCCGGGCAGGTCGCTGTAAACGCGCAGGAAAGACCAAATGCAGTACCCAGAGATGATCATAAGTGCCATCCCAGCAACTCAATAATATGGTTCATAAATAAACCGAACTTTTACACAATGGCAACACTTATTCGTCATGGTAATCAGCCGCATGATGCAAACACCAGACCTCGTTATATGTTGTATACTTTATTGTGTTTGACCATTCACAAGGCTTATTTTGTGCGAAAGTGAAACTCCGGGGTCCTAGACGAAAACTGCTCTCCTCGTCTATAGCTCGACACTGACTAGCGATTTCAAGGAACATCTTGACTTGAATGATTTTGAGCCTACGTTCTCGACGGCATAGGCTGACAAATTATCCAACGGCAAGGAGTTCTGCATATAGGCCTAACTGCTGAACGGGGTTTCGTTTGCGTAACCCACGAAACCCCCAAAAATTCCCGGTCAAAAATTACCTTAACGCGAATTTATCTGTGCTCTCTCCAGGTTTCGTAAATACAGGCAGGAAATGGGTCGCCGCCGTAACTTGTCAGACAGTTGCGCTCAGGGCGCTACTCCATGTGTAGTGTCCTTGCAATAGAAGAAAACAGACATTTTGTCTAGTACAGTAAAGATCTTCTGCGGGAGAATTATTTTGCATTGGATGAGCGAAACGTGGATGGCTCGACAAAAGGCGCCAAATAAGAATCCACCGTAATATCATACCGCAGAATTGGTAGGAATACCCTTGGTATTTCGGCCATTTTAGACAAGTCCGTAAAGACTGTGTATACTCTAGACTTAATAATTAACTGGTAAGCAATAAAAATCGAAGGATCCTTAGTACTTGAATAGGTTGGCTACGCACACAGACGAGTCTAGCTGTTAACACTACCTGCGAAGCACCCCGACATGTAACCGTCGGCGCGACCACAGTGGAAGCTACCAAACAGACGTCCACGACTACCACAACTACTGCTACAGCTTCTTTTGAAAAAGCTATTTAAAAGTTGCATAAATCTTTAGTGTGTTGAAGGGGGAAGAAAAAGGGAACCACCCTGGAAAGTGAGAAAACTCGCATGGACATAGTACAATCAATGCAGTGGTCGCTGATATTCGTGTGACGTTGTAGTGGCTGTTTGTCTTATTTCTAACAACTGGGGAACTCACGCTTCTTTTATGCTGATGATAAGAATGCGGCGGTAGTATTCTAAGTACACGGTTGAGAAAAATAGAAAAGCAAGCAAGAGAGAGCGGGTGAGTTAACTAAACCCGTCACACCGAAACGAAGCAGAAGGTTGATCAGTAGCACGAAGGCTCAACTTATAATCTATAGAACTGGACGAGATCAGCTGGTAGATCACGCCAAACACCTGTAAGGCAGTTCTAAGTGGCAAAGCAATGTGCCCAGACCCGAAATCTGAAACGAAACGATCTAACTGGGGACCGCTAGCATACCGAACTTAGTTGTCATTGGCCAGTGCCAAGCGGAGGCCGTCCTACAATGACGATGCCAATCTTCATCTGGAACGACTCTAACGCGGAATCCACAGGGGAGTGAGAAGCCTAAGGCTACGCTTTCGACCTGCCGCTGTGAAGATGTCAAAGCCCGCAGTTGGAGGTTTAGATGTGTGTAATCCAATCGTCTGCTACTGCTGATGCTCAGGAAGCGTCACAGAAGTCCGATGCCCCAGTTACGACAATTACAGAGAATTGCAGCACCGTATGCAGTGGGACCACATATGAGACTGAACACCCAGAGTGGCTGTCTCTGTACTCATGTACGTTTACAGGATGATTACTGCACAGACATCTTCCTGGACATTTTAATAAAGAAAAGAAAACGAGTTAAAACTTATTAGCGCAAATTGTCGCCTCATTATCTTGTGATTGTGCGGGGTGTGTGCACCTACAGACGGCTTCTTCCACTTCCTTAAAGTATTAAATGAACAATAGATGATTTAAAGAGACTGGGGTAGCAATTTCTGAACTTTCGAGTCTAAAGGAGGGGTTGCATGATGTATTTAGATACGGACGACGACGTGGATAAGGTGACCTCACGAGAATCGACTTTTTGAGTTCTAAGTCAACGAATGAAGTGCTAAAACTTAACTTAATGCAAACCTTAATCAGTAGTCAGGAAAAAATGTACGTGTGCTAGGTTGCACGTCGGAAATCCTAGATTGTCAGGGACAGAATAAATTAAGAAAGTTTAAAACTCGTTACAGAGAAGATAAAATAACATAAAAATCCCAGTCCGCTTGGGCATTCAAGCCCTCAAACATGTAATGTACCGGGCCTACCAAAGAATTTCGTGTAAAATTGTAGTTTTGACCTCTATATTAAAATATTAAAACAAACGAAGGACCGAAATTTAGAGCCAATTAATAGAAAAAACCCTTGTCGACGCGAACTGTTAGAAGTTTAGTTTTCTAGAAAATCGCGAGTGCTAACGTAACGACATCGTGCCACTGTGGTTTATCTTGTGGATTTCATGTATTTCAGTTCTATGTTCCGGTCCTGAGGTTTCCTGGAAATTGATTAACCTAATATGGCCTCCTGCATTAATTTCACTTTCTCGCCTGTCAAATAAGACTGTTTGTTTTCGGTTCTACCTTAGAAAATTCCATCTTGTTTATCTGAACTTTTCACGAGAGACTTTGCTCTGACCAAACAAAGCACTTCAAGTTTGGCCTGCCCGGTACTTACTTGCATTTTTACAGATTCACTGATTTTGGTGCGTGGGTGGCACTTATTCCCTCTTAGTATTTTCTTAATTTCCCGCCTCCAAAGTGATAAATTCCCCGAAACCAAAGCCTTATGACAGTTACTTACATATATACTCGAGCGAATTTCCGTTAATATTTGGGTTGTTTGGGGAACAAAATTGGTTAATAACATGACTTTCATCCAAACTCAGTAGGACTGCAGGTTAGCACTTTAGCTTTGGGTTTTCAAATTCATTGGTAGCTCAAAGTTAAGCTAGTCTAATTCCACGATGCAAAACATTCCTGGAGTGTGATGCCAGAATGATGCCGTATGTTGCGGTTTGTATAGGTAGATGCTCTTAGCGACTTACATGGACATTGTTTGCGAATGAGAGACAGGCAATACATCTCAATTGATTAAGGAAAGATAATTTTTGATTAAAGAGCCGTCGGAGTCAGATCAAAGCAAGTTAAAGTAAATATAAATGTGAGATTTAGACGAGGTAGGCAGAATCTTTACATAATGCAATTCATAGTTTCTGAATTAGTGGTCCATTGAGAAACATGATAAGTGAGGGGTGGAAAAAACTCCATAAAAAGCGAAAAATGATTAGATTAACTTAACAGGAGAAAAAAACCCTTAATCAAAATAATGACAGAAAAAGCGAGCAGAACTGGCCAGTAGGTGGCGGTATATAACGGATTGTTTTCGGTCATCGTCAGTGTAGCAATAAATCTCAGCCTTGAGGGGTACGTATGCGGGTTAGACAGGACTGGCCTGTATGTGGTATTGTATACGGGATTCACAACTGACATCGTCTGGGCCGGATTGATACGTCGCATAAGAGTATTCGCGTCAAATAGGCCAGACGAGAGGAACCCAGATGCGATCGGCCACAGCACGCTTCGAGCTCAGCCGAGCAGTGGGGGAGGGAGGTACGACCGAACTACTAGTAGACGGCGAATACTGAGGGTTCCGCCCTGAGCATCGACAGACCGCATGAGGTCGGAATGCGGGAGACGACATCAAAAACCGCGAAAATTGTCGCTATAGGGGAGGAATGATAGCAGTGGATTTAGAAACCAACTCAAAACAGGGGTGCCTAATGATATAATTAAGAGTTACCACTTGAGCTACCACTAAATCCCAGGAGGACCCTTCTTGAAGTCAAGAATCTGAGTGTTCGGGAATGAGACCGTTAACAGCGCCTTTATGCTTTCCGGTGAAAGATGTTTGCGTAATTTCGACTTGAATACCAGTAACTTGGGCGGTAATCTAATTTCAGGCGGAAGATTATTCCAAAGGAAGGCATATTTGGAAGCAAAGAAAAGGGATCGCTTAGATGTAGTGCAAAGAGACGGCGGAATCACCATGCAGGAGTTGTGCGTGGCATAAGACCGATCTCTCGTAGTGAGAGTGTCGATGAGGTAGAGTTGATGCGAAAAAGGAAGCAAAGGCCAGCTTCGAGTCTTCTAACCCACAAAAACTTAATGTTCGCCAGCTGACATCTCTGAGTATAGGAAATACCGGACAAAGCTTCAGAGAACAGTTTCCGGGTGAAAACCCTCTGAACATTTTCGATTTTATT